TTTAGATCAAACTTCTGTTCTTGGAGTTGCAGAGTCTTTGAACAAGTGATCAAAACTGTGGTTCATATCTGAAGTTTAATGATCACTGAGAGTCCTGTTTTTTGTTTTAACCAGTTTTAAATTGAAGTGATAAAGATCCAGAACAGTGAAACTGTTATTTTTTCTTAAATGCTTGAATCAGTCCAAAGGCCCTTTTCTCATATCGGGGGTCCCATCTCTAAAGATGAACATGCTGGACGTTACTGGATTTTAAGAATAGGGACGTTCACTCTGTCATCCTGCTGGCTGCAGAGTAACTCTGCTGACATCTGGTGTTTTAAAAGAAACTCACACAGTTTGTGAATCAACATGACTTCCTGGAAATAGGCATTATTTACTCAGTCACATGTTACATTTTTGTAACTGGTGTATTGTATATTCTTTGAATGTGTTATTTAATGTGTTTTCAGTTGAAGGGTAGGGAATTTTGTTCAGGCATGAAAAAATGCAAAGTAAATTACCGTGTCATTCTTACATATTCTTATTTTCTAAACATGAGAAGCTGGGTGGTGATGGCGCAGTGGATAAGACACATGCCTCTGGTGTGAGAGATCTTTGGTTAAGTTCCCCACTGTGACATGTCCACCAATGTGTCCTTGAGCAAGACACTTAACCCCTAGTTGGAGCACCCTAAATTTCATTGTACCTTCACAGTGCAATGACAATAAAGACTATTCTATTCTATTCCTAGTTGCTCCACAGGCGTGCGACCTCTGACATCCTTAGTAGTTTTAAGTCGCTTTGGATAAAAATAAAATGAATAAATGAGAAGCTTCACACTGACTAAAGCAGAGCTCAGATATACACTGCTCAAAAAAATAAAGGGAACACTTAAACAACACAATGTAACTCCAAGTCAGTCACACTCCTGTGAAATTAGGAAGCAACACTGATTGACAATCAATTTCACATGCTGTTGTGCAAATGGAAAAGACAACAGGTGGAAATTAAAGGCAATTAGCAAGACACCCCCAATAAAGGAGTGGTTCTGCAGGGGGTGACCACAGACCACTTCTCAGTTCCTGTGCTTCCTGGCTGATGTTTTGGTCACTTTTAAATGCTGGCGGTGCTTTCACTCTAGTGGTAGCATGAGACGGCGTCTACAACCCACACAAGTGACTCAGGTAGTGCAGCTCATCCAGGATGGCACATCAATGCGAGCTGTGGCAAGAAGGTTTGCTGTGTCTGTCAGCGTAGTGTCCAGAGCACGGAGGCGCTACCAGGAGACAGGCCAGTACATCAGGAGACGTGGAGGAGGCCGTAGGAGGGCAACAACCCAGCAGCAGGACCGCTACCTCCGCCTTTGTGCAAGGAGGAGCAGGAGCAGCACTGCCAGAGCCCTGCAAAATGACCTCCAGCAGGCCACAGATGTGCATGTGTCTGCTCAAACGGTCAGAAACAGACTCCATGAAGGTGGTATGAGGGCCCGACGTCCACAGGTGGGGGTTGTGCTTACAGCCCAACACCGTGCAGGACGTTTGGCATTTGCCAGAGAACACCAAGATTGTCAAATTCGCCACTGGCGCCCTGTGCTCTTCACAGATAAAAACAGGTTCACACTGAGCACATGTGACAGACGTGACAGAGTCTGGAGACGCCGTGGAGAACGTTCTGCTGCCTGCAACATCCTCCAGCATTTCTTTGGGGGGCCGCACAGCCCTCCATGTGCTCGCCAGAGGTAGCCTGACTGCCATTAGGTACCGAGATGAGATCCTCAGACCCCTTGGGAGACCATTTGCTGGTGCGGTTGGCCCTGGGTTCCTCCTAATGCAACACAATGCTAGACCTCATGTGGCTGGAGTGTGTCAGCAGTTCCTGCAAGAGGAAGGCATTGATGCTATGGACCGGCCCGCCCGTTCCCCAGACCTGAATCCAACTGAGCACATCTGGGACATCATGTCTCGCTCCATCCACCAACGCCACGTTGCACCACAGACTGTCCAGGAGTTGCGGATGCTTTAGTCCAGGTCTGGGAGGAGATCCCTCAGGAGACCATCCGCCACCTCATCAGGATCATGCCCAGGCGTTGTAGGGAGATCATGCAGGCACGTGGAGGCCACACACACTACTGAGCCTCATTTTGACTTGTTTCAAGGACATTACATCAAAGTTGCATCGGCCTGTAGTGTGGTTTTCCACTTTGATTTTGAGTGTGACTCTAAATCCAGACCTCCATGGGTTGATACATTTGATTTCCATTGATAATGTTTGTGTGATTTTGTTGTCAGCACATTCAACTATGAAAAGAAAGGATTATTTAATGAGATTATTTCATTCATTCAGATCTAGGATGTGTTATTTTAGTGTTCCCTTTATTTTTTTGAGCAGTGTATTTATACGTTTTTAATTGATTGCATGAATGAACTCACCCGCGACACTTTTTCCTTCTGCTGCTGCTTCTTCTCTTGATTGAGACCGGATTGCAAACAACGTTTAGGTGCATACCGCCATCTACTGTGCAGGAGTTTGTACCACACACATAATTCGCGATTTCCATTTTGACACTTATCATTAGCACGACAGTCTTCATTTATCAGTTCAAAAACACCAAAGAACGAGGTAGAAATAGGGAACAAGACGCGAGCTTTTATTTTGAAATGTAGAAACTAGCGGAAGGCACCAGGCAGGAGGGCATGAGACGGGAGGCTCCAGGATGCAGTCATACCCTTCTCGAGAAACCCAGGAAAGTTTGATCTAAACTTCTACAAAATGTTTTAATACGTTTTTAAAAGACACACTGACCTACACAAACTAACCTGAGGCTGAAACCTCCAGCTGGATGATTCTGATTGGTTCAGTCTTAATAATGGCTCTCTTACGTCTTGAACCTCCTGTTGCAACTCGACACTCGTATGTTCCAGCGTCGTTGCTGCTCACGTTCTTCAGAATTAAAGACACGTCTCCGTCCTTCAGCTCTCTGTCCACCAGCTGCACCCGGTCCTTAAAGGATGGATGCTGGTGGGTTGGATCTGAGAGTCCAAACAGAAGGCCTCACACCTGAGATCAGGGGAACATCCAATAATTAGTCACAACTGCGGAGACATTACAGGATTTTATTCCCACACTGTTTATAAGACTTGTTGTTGTGAAACATGCAGCTGCTTCAACTTTATAATTAAATGGCAACATTCAGCCAATCAGAGCCCTCAGTGACGTATCTTTATCAAGGTCGGACCCAAAGTCCATGTTTTAATAGGCTATGTTAGGATAGTTTTGGTTTGGTTTCACATTGCATTTCTGCGAGCACACTGAATAACTTTACAGGACAGTCCTGCGTCCTGTCTTCATCATCAACCCGGTCTCACTCCCAAGTCGTCACATATGGACGCTTGGTCAAACGCCATAATCGTCAGTTTGTGACGCACTAGGGATCCCTTTGACGTCATAGTTCGACGTATTGAGGGAAGCCCTGTTGTGTCAGTTTTTGATGGTAAAGGCAAGTATGATATTTAAGAGAAAAGACGAAGTAAGGAGGTGATTGGGGTGGATAGAGGGCCAGAACCCGGACCTTGAAGCAGGAGAACAGGGTTTGTGTCCCGTGCGAAACAAAACATTAAATGTTTTTATTTAGGCGAGTGAGGTAAATTGACATTAACGTTAGTTAACTTAAGTCTTAATTGACATACATAGCTATTTTAACCCAAACCATGATCTTTTCCTAACCTTAACCAAGTAGTTTTGTTGCCTAAACCCAACCAAGTACTTTCTGTGCCTAAACCTAACGAAACTGCAACGTTTCACGACTTTAATTATGCGCGTTTCAACATGGCAATGTATCGAAACGTTACGTTTTATCTTGAAAGTGTAACCGGATATTGCATATTTATTGTTGCTAAGCGTTGCTAACTTGACTGTGGATCCCTAAACGTCAATAATTGATGCAAAAGGGCTACCCAAGTCTTTAAAAAGCGACGACAAAGGGCCTTGACCATGCGTCAGACATTTGACGAGTAGGGAGTGAGACTGTGTGGTAACCCGTCGTCATCATCTATGTGGGCTGCGTCTCCTTATACTTGACATTGGTTGGTTATTAAATAGTTCTGCGAGGAGCTTTAAAAATAATGATTGATAGATGAACAGATGCATATCGTTGCCACTATATTAGTGTGGTATTACTAACTGCAGCACTAGCTATACAGGAGGCTAATTCAAATTCGCCAAATACATACAGCATAATACATCCTCGTTGTGTGAACATTATATCGTCGCCAGCAGGAAAGAAGAGAAGACAGCAAATAATCTTTCTGCACCTCCATTTGTGGAGAGCCCAGTTTGCTTTGTGTAGAGCCCCGTGTCTCCTGATGATATGTTGAGCTTGTGAAGAAGTAAAACATGTGTAAAACAGAACAAGGGGAGTGTGTTGCTCTACAGAGGAGGCGGCTAGAAGCAGCACATTTTGGCACAATGGCACAGGCTCAATGTATCTGACAAATACAGAGTCCCTATCCACAACCTGGAGGAGGAACCGTACATGAGTGTATTAAAGAGTATAATGTTTACTTAATAGTACACTGTTAATATAACAATAATTTATTATAATGTCATAATAGTTTACTATTCTACCACTAGTCGATAATTAGCCTATATCCAGTTACAGCTGTTTCATTTCTATGGGTTGTTTTTATTTATTAAATCCATGTGCAAGAAAAAGGCTCTACATCGGTCTGTAATTTGTTAATGCTAAGTCCTAACTTAGATAATAATCACATTGTTAAACATTTGAAAGTTTGCTGTAGCACGTCAAACTTTTTTTAATGTCCCGCCCATCCAGGCCGACAAGAACGTGAACGCTCTGTGAAATGTTGAACATGTTGAACAACTAAATGCACCGATACAGCCAAAGTTCTTATGGGACGTCTGTGATGCAGCTGACGTTAAATGGCCCGTGAGCCAAACCCAAACCTTCTGTCTCTGTCACAGGGCGACAGGAGCGCAGGCATTTTACTCGGTGACAAGTCAGACTGTGTTTTGAACGATCAGCGGCGGGCAGAGAGGGGGGTTACGGCAGGTTGTTGTCTTAAACATTACTGGCACACTGCTCATAATTTCTGTCATTGCAAGTAGGCGTATCTGTTTATAGGGGCGCATGCGAGAACAAACACAGAAGGCAGCGTCACACACACCATTTCTGTTTAATTTTAAAGCACAATTCTTGCGGTTATGTAATCGCACATGACGACATCGCGATTGCGATGAGATTAATTGTACAGCCCTAGAGAAGAGTTTAACTGGACTGTTTCATAACACCAAATGGTGCAATGGGACGGACATCTTTTCTGCTCTGTAAGTACAATCTGATAAAACCGAAATAACTGTAAATTCTTATTATTGCCCTTTAGACTTTATTGATCATAAATAAATAAAGTCTATGGAAACCACAGCAGGTGCAACAAACTTTATGAGGCAACAGAAATTAAATAAACTGCTACGTCTCAAAGAGAGCAGAATAGACCATCACAGAGCTGCAACATATTTAATGTGTTTTTCTTCCTTTAATCTATCTGAAACAGACGTCTTTAAAAGGTTACTTTAATAATTAGGCAGAATTCAGTATTAACTTTCTGTTCCACTAAAGTGTCACAGAAATGTTATTCTTATATATATATATATATATATATATACACACACACACACTGTTGAGATATTAAATATCCACAAACAGTACATTAATTTAGGGCTGGAAGATTTTGCTGTATTTTTGGAGCAGTAAGTTTCCCAGTTCTCTGTCTGGTCTGGTTTTATGTTAAATCTCTGGTTTCTCTTCAGTGCTGATCTCTCTGCTGAGCTGCAGGACCAGCGGAGGTGAGTGAACTCTGACACTCAAAGCTGTTCACATAACGCTTTCTGGTAAAAAGTCATGTAAAATGGGAAGAGATGTAAAGAGTTTGAACACAACAATAAAAAAACAAAGGCCACCACCTCTTCTTTTTTCCACATGTTGGTTAAATAGCATTCATTTCTATTCCTGGTAACACTGCAACTTTAACACCAGAGCTGGGCAGCATCGGAGACGTTACAGACACAGCTGTGGAAAGTTGGGAGCTGAGCGCTGTGGATCTTCTGAATCTTTATTCATAATGCGGCAGCTGCAAAAGTTTGATTAGCTAGGCCAACTTCATCAATCCCCCCTAAATTCTGTCAACAATATAATTGAAATAAAGGATAAATTGATATTGGTATTTTCACTGTCGTTTTTAATGATTAACAAATGCTTAAATAACTGACCTCTCTGGGCTGGTTGGAAATGAATAATGATAATAAAGCTTGGTCTGTTTCCCTGAGCTAATTACTTCAAACCAACTGTGCTGTTGATGTCCAAGCTGTGGGGGGAGAAGTACTGTGGCCAAGTGTGTTAGTAACCACTGATTAGTTAAGCATATCCGGTCGTTAACTATCCAACAAAGTGTCAAGTTTTTACTGTGAGACATCTGGGGTCTCATTTCTAAATGCATCGTTTAACACAAAAAAGAGCTGGAAACGTGTGTACGCCACTTCCCAAGCAAAGGTTGTGATCCAAAAAAAAAAAAAAAAACCTTGACGGGAAAATGTGCGTCCCGTAATTAAACTTTGAACCATGCGTACGCATATAAAGAACAGAAAAGAGAAACGGCGACTCACATGGCAAGAAGATGAAACGGTTTGAAATGTTCATGAAATTTTAATAGGCTACGTTCGGATAGTTTTGGTTTGGTTTCACATTGTATTTCTGCAGCACACTGAATAACTTTACAGGACAGACCTGCGTCCTGCCTATGTGGGCTGCGTCTCCCTATACTTGACATTGGTTGGTTTATAAATAGTTCTGCGAGGAGCTTTGAAGAGAATGAATGAATGATGAACAGATGCATATCGTTGCCACTATATTATTATGGTATTACTATACAGGAGGCTACGGTTTGAAATGAATAGGCCTACTACTGTGTAAAATATATCGAAATATTACCTCTGAGTATTATAGGCTTAAAGCCTTTCCAAATAATCATACACTCATTTGATAGATTTTCCCTTAAGCGCAAAAAAAATATCCAAATTTAGGATCATAAACACAAACGGAGATATGACATCCGCAAAACAACTCATATAGGCCTATGTTGTACAGTGTAATAAGGAATCACATTAATCAATACTTGAATGCAGCGCAATTTATTCTCATAAATAAGGTGAACAGGAGGACAAATTTTATTTAAACTGATTTCAATGTGTCAGTTGAGCAAATAGGAGAGCATAGTTTCACATAGCCTACTGTTATCAGATGTTTGTTGCCTTATCGAGCCAAACGCTGTGGGCCAGCGTGTGGATGTGATGCGCTGCTTGTAAAAACACATTATGGAAAAATAACACTATTTTATTGTCATCCAACGAAGGTTAAAATCAAGGGCAACTGGACATGGTTGAAGATCTTCAACCGACCTGGATGACTTAGAATCTTCATAGACATATTTTATTGTCATTTACAACAAGTCATGTTTATTTTAATCAGCAGCCTCCTTAAGTGAGTGGAGTGTTTGTGTAGTGAGTGGAGTGTTTGTGTAGTGTTGAATGTTTAAACGCAAGCGTTGTGCTTTTGGTTTACTCAAATGGGGGAATCCAAATTAGTACCTGGGTCATCCCGTCTGTGTGTGTTTCTCCCTTCAGCCAGTGACGTCACTACTCAAGACGGGTTACCCACCAAACAGCTTCAGCTTCACCAAAAAGAACGTCAGTGTCACACTGAGTTAAATTTCGTTTTGTAGCTTCTCTGTCAGAATCTCTGTCTCCTTTCCTTCATGCAGTCAGTACGTATTAATATTAATGAAGGGCGTTTCACTGACTATTTAGAGGAAACTATGGGTGATTGGAGCTCCCTCACATGCGCCACATTTCAAGTTGATTGTGATTTATAAAGGGAACATTGTTTACAAGTGTGCGTACGCACTTTTTTATAAGTCTGAATATTTTTTGCAGTACACCATTTTTTGGCTTTTGGACACACGTACACTTAGTGAGGTTTCTACGCACAGTTTTATAAATGAGACCATTGTTCATTTAGCTAAAAAATGTAACGTATCTGCTCCAGCCTCTCTGACTGTGAGTCCCAGCAGCTCTCAGTTTTTCATCAGGAAGTCTGTCTCTCTGAGCTGTGAGGAGGACGACAGCTCTGCTGGATGGACGCTGAGGAGGAACACAACCAGAGGAACCAGGACTCAGTGTGGAGCTGACTGGGGAAGATCAGCTGGTTCTTCCTGTAACATCAGCTACATCACCAAATTGGACAGTGGAGTTTACTGGTGTGAGTCCAGAGAGGGAGCAACCAGTAACACCATCAACATCACTGTCACTGGTAAGATCAGACTGTGGAGTTAGTGTTGATGAAGCTGTGTGTAAATGATGAAATGCTGTAGTTTGTCTCTGTGTTGAGGTGGACCAGTGATCCTGCAGAGTCCTGTCCTCCCTGTGATGGAGGGACATGATGTCACTCTGCACTGTAAAACAGAGACCCCTCCCTCCAACCTCCCAGCTGGTTTCTATAAAGATGGCTCCCTCATCAGGACTGAGCCTACAGGTCACATGACCATCCACCATGTTAACAAGTCTGATGAAGGCCTCTACAAGTGTAACATCAGAGGTCGTGGAGAGTCTCCATCCAGCTGGATCTCTGTCACAGGTGAGGAGCTCAAAGATAATTCTCAAACTGACCTTGTTTTGTTTTCTACATTGAGTTCAGCAGGTTTCAGGACAGCAGAGATGATTCATGATGTGACAACATTTCTAACTTTCTAACTCACCGTTTGATACGTGATCTTTTTAACTCTAAACTAGGCATTATGAATTCACTTCTGTGTCTTTCTGTTAGCATGCTGTTGAATAAATTATATATTTATTTTATTTTCTGTGCTTTTAATTATAATTTCTTGTTCAATTTAGTGAAACCCACCACTACAAGCCCTCCTTCAACTACCTCTCCTGCTGGTTCTTCCTCTCCTCCTCTCTCTGTGTCGTGGTCTGCTTCTATATCTTTCTGTGTTCTGGTTCTACTGGTTCTTCTGGTTCTTCTGGTTCTTCTGGTTCTTCTGGTTCTTCTGGTTCTACTGGTGAGACGATGCCTCCATATGAAATCTAAAGGTTAGTCACAGACTCCATGTGCTGGAGTTCACATTTTCAGTCACATTTTACTGTTCATACATTTTTATTAACACTTCTGGACGTACAAATAATAACAAGTTACAAACTGTTTCTTTAAGTCAGACGTCCATCAGGATTCTCATAAATTGGTTTGCTGTTGTTAATAAAACAATCTCACCACAGGGTCCATTTAGTGAGCTGTGGAGCTTTTGATCAAATCACATGATCTTCCTTGATTTAAATTTCTGCTCCTTTTGGTTCATTCAGCTGCTGAAGAAGAAACTGGGGATGATGACATCACATACAGTGATGTAAAAATATCACGTCACCTACAGCAGCCAATCAGACGCAGCAAAGGTAACGATGTTTTATCGATTCTGTATTTCAGGGACAGGAACTGTGTGTTCTTGTTCTTATGTCTTTGTGAAGACCAAGTTGAGTTTAAGACCTTGAGAGGACATTTTGGAAAGTGACGTAAGGACATTTTTATACAATGAGTAGATGATATAAATGTTCTTCAAAATAAATAAAATGTTAAATCAATGTTCATTAGTCCATAAAGATTTCAGACTTGTTGTGGTCTGTTTAGGTTAATGACAATGTGTGTTTTGTGCCCTGCAATGGATGCTAAAAGAAGCTAACATGTCTTTAGTCATCCAGTTTACTGTTTTTTAAAAACACTTGAATGAGGACACATGAATTATAAATATGTGCAGATATACATATCTCTGTAAATTCTGCTCACACACAATATTTCAACTGTTTTACTCAAACATTATTGGTCTGTTTGTTTAAATGTAAATTATAGGTTTATTAAGTGCTTAAATGATTTTTAATTAAAGAGAAGATGGGCTCAGCAGACCAAAGACACTTGGTTGTGCTCTGCATCTAAACCACAGCAGCAACTTCCTCCTGTTGATTACAGTGAACTGAGGTGTGATGCTGGTGTCGTTTCTCATTATAGTGTGATCTGTTTAAGCTGATGGTGATGTGTTTGTCTATTTTTGTGCTGAAATGTGTGAACTGGTTTTGTTGTCATCTAGTTCCCTGTTTCAGATAAATACCCTCCAGTTATATTTGGTCTTTCACCTTTCACAGTGTTAAGAAGAAGAAAACTGTCAAACCTGCGGCCATTTATAAAGTTTATAAAGTTTTTTGGTCCATAAAGGTTAAGAGAAAAGTTTTTCTATTGTGTCCTTTTCCAATACTGTACAAAAATACATATTATTGATTATAATAGGAACATAATAATCTGAATACAGTTTTTGTGATGACTGCAGTAGTAGTAGTTATGGACAAATAGTCATCAGACCAAACAGGACGAGAGGTACAGCTGCTCTTCTTTGTTTCCATCATGAACCAACAGTAGAAAAATCTCTTAGAGAAGAACACAGGAGAGTTCTTGTGGTTTTCACAGCCCAAACAATTTGTAGGATGTACTTTAGTTGTTGTGGATACAGTGTGAAACCTACTGTTCAGTACTTTGTTGTGGTTCCTGGTACCAGTTTGTTTGCAGGTTTCACTGGAGATAACTTTGTTCATGAATGGGAAGGAGTTCAGAATGAGGGTTCAGGCCTGACAAGGAAGCAAGACAGGAACATACATGTGTGTGTTGCACTGTGTGCTATTTTCAAGCACCTTATTACCCTGAATCCAGCCTGACAGGCAGAACTTCATCCACTTACATGATTTATATGGTTATTTTGAAATATCATGTTATAGATGATTAATTTTGGTTATTGTTGAAAGTTAAAAATGAAAGTGTCTTTAAGTTCCAGCAGAGTCTAATTCAGTAAGTTAAGGTCTGACAAGTTGAGAGTAGACATTTTGACTGTCCACATTGTGAAATTTGAGTACTTATATAAGGGCATCTTGTCTCTCTCTTTAAAAGATTAAGGCTATTTAATTTGTTGGGGTCAGAATTAGATTTAGGTCAGTGAAGATAGCTTCAGAAAGTCAGGACATCTTTGAAGACAGGATATTATGAATTATGAGGATTATTGTGAACATTTCTAAATTTTTGGGACTAGATAATGAATTGTGTCAGTGATGATCTGAAGTACAAAAAAGTTAGGTAATTTGATGAGTTTTATTGTGAAATCACATTGTAATAATTTTTAACTATTTTTAGATTTTACGTTAGTCGGACACTAACATGCACCTTTAACAACAGGGGTGCATTTCCCAAAAGCATTGTGCTAACTACGGTAGCAACTTCTTCATGCAGTTGCGATGCAACTGTTTCCCAAAACCCTACAGAAGTTTGAACTACAGAGGTAACTAAGCTGGTAACCTACATGGTACAAACCATCGTTAAGCGACACAGGTGTTTCACAGTGACTACGTCACAGATAGCAGAAAATGCAGTGTTAGGAGGAGGATGTAATGTGTTTTAAGCAGGGAATGTTAGATAATCCTGCTGTACAAATGTATTTTAGGCCCATCTGTTCACAATAACTTAATTTAATATTAGTCACCCAAAGGTTAAAGGACAAAATGGAGAAAGTGAAGACAAGACTTAATATTACCTTCATGTGGGCTATACATCTCTACGTGTTCTCTAAGTCTTCATTACAAACAGAAATATAAAAAGGAACAGCATAAAATTCATTGAAGTACTGTAATGAATAAATCCCTGAGAGCTTTCGTTGCCATTACACAAAAGATACATAGAGAATTCACCGGAGTCGAAAATGCGTCTGTCTCAATAGAGCACACTGACAATCTCAGCCACTTATTGCACTGAGCTATTCTCAAAACTTTAATACCATTTGCAGCCAAGGGATTCAGAATAGTGGTAAAGTGTTGAATCCCCCCAGAACATTGAAATACAACCGTAGTGTTTTGGTGTTTTGTCAGGATTTGTTTAGATTTGTTTTGATACATTTTCCCGAAACAGCAACTTATTCACGTGTAATCTTCTTTACGTCACAAAGTTTCAGACTGTAGTCTCTGTCAACAGAAGATATCAGATCTGTGGTCGTCCAGTTTACTGTTTCTGATAAAAACAGAACTTCAGCTGAATGTGGCCCTGAACATGTTTCACTGCAGGACTGTTACTTTAAAAAATAACATACATAAAATATAAATATGAAGAATTTCATATCTCTGTGCATTCTGCTCACAAACAATATATCCAATATATGTAAACTGTTTTACTGTTGTGATTTACTCAAACATTATTATTGATCTGTTTGTTTTAATATAAATAATTAGATTACTAAAGTGTCAACTTTTTTTCTACTCTGCACATCAAACCACAGCAGCAACTTCCTCCTGTTGGTTCCAGGGAACTGTGGTCTGATGCTGGTGGTTTCTAAGTATAGGGTGGCCTGTTTTAGCTGATGGTGAAATGTTTGTCTATGTTCTGACTTGTGCTGAAATGTGTGAACTTGCATTAATAGTCCAACTTCCTTTTCCAGCCAAATACTTTCCAGTTATATTTTGTCTTTCAGCTTTTCTAAAGACAAACTATAACAGTTATATAAAAAATATAACTACAGCTTTTCTACAGCAGTAGTATTACATGTGTTACAGTACTAGTACTAGTGCAAACAGCAGTAAATATACAAACAGTATCAGATGTAGTATTTGCAGTAATGAAATTTATATATGTTTTGTTTTCCAGAGAGTGATCCAGCTGCAGTCTACTCAGCAGTGAGAGGAACAGGAGATGTTAGTTATGAACAAATAAACGTCAGACCACACAGGATGAAAGGTACAGCTGCTCTTTACTTATTAACCCTCTCATGCATGGTGTCCACATTTGTGGACAGATAATTTAACTCCATTTTGGGTTACTATATCGTGGTTACGTTCTCCAAGTAATTTGAGGACAGTGTCAGTTGATTGACAGCAACATTGTAACCGTGGTTACTCTCTTGCTTGAGAAGTTTTTCAAACACATCTGACAAACAACCAGCAGCAGTAAATAAAAAAACTGCCCGTCCCTCCTTTGCCAACATCAGCGTATAATACAAAACATGTGAACATATCCTGGCTCCACATGGAGCTTCGTTCTCATCATCAAATGTCTGATTTTGTGCCTCTCAAACATTACACACATGTAAAAGACACGGACAAATTGCAGGTGAAAAAACTATCTATGAAACATCTGACAAATACAGCAACAGAGCAGACAGGACTCCTGTAACCTACTGCAGGTTTGGTGAAAATGTAAAAGTTATTCAGTGTTTAATAATGAAGATACAGTTGAATGAACCCCAGTCAGGAAAATGGTTGCTAATGGGGATCCAAATAAAGAGAATTTTCCAATAAAGAAAAGTTACAGAAATGTTTGTGTATGCTGTCTATATATAGTTCTAGGAAGAAAGATTATAAGAATCGGCCAGAAAAA